GGATTGCCTAGTCTTCCTTCTGAGGAGTGGCTGGTGGGTTTAGGGATCAGTGGTTAGCAGTCAAATGCCTTAGGCACTATCCCACCAGAGCTCCTGCAAAGAAAACAAAGGCATCTGGTAACAGTCCAAGGATAAGATGGATCACGACAACCTCAGCCTTCATGACCCTGAGACCAGAAGAACTAGATGGTGCCCAGCTACCAATGCCAACCACTCAGAAAGGGATCAAAACTGGACATCTTAGATAGATTGGGAGGAAAAATGTGGACCAAAATTCAAAAACACAAAAATGACCAGAATCACTGGTTGGATAGAGTCTGGCAGAACCCCAAGACTATGGCCCTAGGTTACCCTTCAGGCCTAGAAATGGCCTCACTCCCATGAATTGGCTCTAAGCCCAACAGTAGAAAGACATACATGCAGAACACCTACCCCAGGGCAATGTACCCACCTACTCTAGGGAGAGGCACCTGTTAGAGCACTCAGCCATGATACACCAGAGGGGCAGCATTCACATAAGAGTGATAGCTGAACAGACAGGAGCGCATAGTTAAGAAGGGCACAGGGAGTGGGTAGACATGGGGATAGGAGGGGAGGAGAGTTTGTTATGGTCGGGGATGGTAATCAGGGCATGAAATCAAATGTACATGAACAGTTGAATGTAAAACAAATTTACTCTATAAATTTTTACCCAAACTCACTGACATCGAGTCATTCTGACTCATAACAACCTCCATTGGGTTTCCAAGGTGGTAAATCTTCACAGAAGTAGATTGCCCTATGTTCCCTCCGTGGAGCAGTTGGTGGGTTTGAACTGCCAACCTTCTGGTTAGCAGTCAAATGCCTTAGGCACTATGCCACCAGAGCTCCTCAGACCCAAACCACAATAAAATTTTACATAAATAAATAAAAGTTTACAAATGGCCATCTAGATGCAATAATTGGTCTCTCCTCATCCAGAGCAAAGAAGAATGAAGAAAACCAAAGACAGATGGAAAAAAATAGTCCAAGGGACCGGTGGACCATTGAGCCTCAGCCCACACGACCATGAGACAAGAAGAACTAGATGGTGCCCAGCTACTACTGTCAACCACTCAGAAAGGGATTAGTGCAGGAGATCCTGGATAGAACAATGGGGAACGAAACTCAAAATCATAAAAAATGGATGGTTTGATAGAGCCTGGTGAGACCCACAAGACTATGGTCCCTAGTTACCTTTCAGGTCTGGCATTAAACTTACTCCTGTGGCTTCCTGCCAAACAACAGACAGGAATACAGTGTGAAAATTTACTCTAGACAGATACACTCCTTAGAATGATCAATCATGGGAGAACAGAAGGGCAGTATTTGCAGAGGGAGACAGCTCAGAGGCAGGAGTTTATAGGAAAGAAGGACACCGGGAAGAGGTAACTATCAGGAGGAAGTAGGAGGGGAGCTGTTGCACTGTGGTAAATTGTAGTCAATGTCATGAGATAAAGTGTATGTGAACTGCTGTATGGAAAGTGAATTGGCTCTGTAAACTTTCACCCAGATCACAATTTAAAAAAAAAGAAAGTCATTATAGCGTAAGGGTCAAGCAAGGACTTGGAGCCAGACTATATGAACCTGCATCAGTTGTATGATCTTAGGCAAGTTCCTTACCATCTCTGTTGCCTTAGTTTTCTCATTTGTAAAATGGAGATAATAAGAGTACTTGCTTCATAGAAACTAAGCCAGAATTGAGTGAGTTAAAATGTCTCAAGCTTTCAGAACCATGTCTGGCATATAATGCATAAGTGTATGCCACTATATTGATTGTACTTATTTTGCATTGTTTGTTTGTTTGTCTGAGGGAAGAATCTAGCACTGGGCCTGGAATTAATAGGCTGTTGAATGCATGAAAGAAAGAATATATGTAGTTGAATTTAAAAAAAAAAAAAAGAATAGTCTTCAATAAATGGTGCTGGAAATATTGGAGTGCCACATGCAGAAAAATGAAACAGGAGCTATGTTTTACATCATACACAAAACAAATTCAAAATGGATTAAGGACATAAACGTACTAACTAAAACCATAAAATTTTTAGAATAGATAGAATACAGAAGAGATATGAGAATCTATGAAGACATACAGTAAAGATTTAAGCCTCACAATTATTATTATCACCATCACCATCACTATTTTATATTCAAGGACTGAGCTTCAGAGAGTTTAACTAATTTGCCCAAGCCACACAATCAAAAGATGGTAGGTCAGGATTTGAAACCAGTTCTGTATGACAACTAAAGAGCATGCTGCTAAGAGTATCCTATAATTCCTATAGAAATCTAGTCACCATAAATTTTTTTTTTAAAAAAAGGACCAAGGTTGAAAATAATACATTGGACCTTATAATTCAGAATTTTAAAAAAGTAAAAATCAAGTAAGCTTTGGAATATGGGCAATTTGGAAATGAGTGAAAACTATCAGTACAACAATGGTATAAAAGAAAGAATGTACTTTCACTGCAGAGGGCACATCTTATGATAGTGTTTGAGTAATACACATTGTGGAGATGGGAGATCCTTTCATTCTGTGAATAGTTTTCAAGTGGCTACTGTGATGAACTAAACAAAGTTCATGCCCTTCTGGGGCTTGCCAAGGCCTAAGTGAGCAGGTCTGAAAGCCCACTGGAGACATGCAGTTGCAATGCATAAGTAAGCTATGTAGGCAGCCAACCAGGAAGTTTAAGTGTGTATGAATAGAGGTTAGTGTCATAATCAAATGGAATACAGAGCAAAGTTCATCTAAAGAAAGTTTAATAACATGCTTCCTCACTACTGCACTACAAAATTAGGCTGAGTGGTTACCTCTTGGAAGGCATAACTATAATTAATGCTACTTTTTACACAGCCAAACAAAATATTTCTGGGAGAGGGAGAGATAGGGTAGGGCTGGAAGCTGTTCTGAAATCCCTTTGGCATAAATGGGTAGTATGTCCAGCTGTTCTGAAAGTCCTGGCAGCAAATGGGTAGTACAACCTGCTGATTTCTACCTCTGAAGCCTCTGGTGTCATCCTCCCTTCCCCTCTGCTTTGGGTCATGCTCACATGGTCTGCACAATAGCCTATTCTTCTGTGTCTCCCCCACCCCCTCCCCAAACTCTCTGAGTCTTGTCCTTCACCATCACATCAAAAGGTACAGGGCTTGCAAGGCTCCCTGCTGTGGCTCTGGGATCACTGTGAGCTCACTGGGATCACTGTGGGATCACTGGGATCACTGTGGGCTCACTGGGAGCACTGTATACTCACTGGGATCACAGAGGCTCACTCTGGTCACTGGGATCACTCTACTCATTGGTATCACAGGGGATCATTCTGTGCTCACTGCTAGAGAGGAACACTCACTACAGGAGGAGCAATGGAGCGTAGGGACTGCACCTTACTCTCCTTCATTGCTTGTGAGACTATCTAGGTGCATGGTTGTGATCTAGGGAGGAAGAAATGGCAGAATAAACAGAGACAATGAAGAAACTGAGCTAGGAAAGAAATTTTAAAAAGGACAGATATCGTATGATCCCTCTTACATGAAATACCTAGAAGAGGCAAACTAAAAGTTTACTAGTGGTTACCAGAGGCTAGGTAGAAGAGAGAATGGGGAGTTACTGCTTAAAGGGTACTGAGTTTCTGGTTTGGGGTGATAAAAAACTTTTGGAAATACACAGTGGTGATGGTTGCACAACATGGTGAAAATAATTAATGCCACCAAATGCTACACTTAAAATGGCAGTTGTTTTGTTAAACTTATTTCATGTCAATAAAACTTAAGAAAGAGGGTTGGGGATTGATACAGAGGGGAAGTAGTAAGGACGGATGATGGGTGCTCAGAAGGGAAAGTGCTGAAACCTGTAGATAAGCCAATGACTGATGAATGGAAATAATTATGGGTGTGTGTATGTGTGGGGGGAAGGCACACAGCTATTTTAGGACATCCAGCTTCAGAAATAAAGGAGCTCTGGTGGTGTAGTGGGTAAGGCATTTGGCTGCTCACCAGAAGGTCAGCAGTTCAAACCCACAAGCTGCCCTGCGGGAGGAAGATGAGGCAATCTATTTCCATAAAGATTTAAAGCCTTGGAAATCCAATGGGGGTCACCATGAGTCGGAATCAACTTGATGGCAGTGGATTTCTTTCTTTCTTTTTTTTGGGTAGCTTCAGAAATATGTCAATTAGCAAGAACTGTGCTTTCTACTTTTTCAAATCCAAACAGATGGACATTAGAGAGTTGTTAACATCTCTTAATCCTGCTGCTTCTTGTCCGGTACTCTTCTCTTTATTTGTCTTGTATTTTTCTGTCCCTTACTGAACAATGCAAGAAAATATCAGTAGTTTAAACAGCATGGGAGAAAAGCTAAGAGTTGGTGGGACCCTAAACTAGCATATTTAGAAATGAGCAGGTACAGGCAGTTACATGCATCTTAGGCATAATACTAGCCATAGGAGACTATATAGAATCTATTGGGGATCCCTGAGACCTTGCTTGAATGAATAGTAAGTGTAAGCTGTGATACCACACACTTCTCAGGTGCCTGAAAATATCACTTGTTCACATGACTCATTCCTGTGGCTGGCCATCTTACCAGTGCTATCAACTGGGGTGCCATCAAGTGCAGGTGGGAACCAGAGCATGGCTGAATCCACCTGTGCACAAAGGCCAGCATGCTTGTCCCTCTGTCCTTTGCCCTGGAGCATTCACCCAGCCCACTAAGACCAAACCATGACTAGCAAATTGATTTTAGTCTGAAAGATGAAAGATGTGAGTTCAAAATAGAATGGGACTACTTAAAGCTCATGAGCACATTAACAAAAGCTTAAAAATACAGAACTTATTCAACATCCACTTCATCAGGGACACAATGTCCCAAAAAAGAGATCAAGTCACCAGCTGGATATTGTCACTGCTGTCTGACACAGTGATGATTCAGTGCAAATTCCATTCACATTTCTCCATTTAAAATGAACTGAGAGAGTGGCGAGATGCTGACCTGTCTCCTTGGAGGCCCGCAGCCGCTGGCCATTACAGAAGGCACCTCGGCCACATTGGCCTGTGTAGAGCCGCTCCTCAGTGCAGTGGTAGATCACTCCAAATTCCAGCTGTAAATATAGAGGCAGGACACAAAACAAATGTGGTCACCTATTTGACACAAAACACAATGTGGGCATTCAAAGATGAAGGCTACTCTAAGTGTTAAGCCTAATGCAGCAACAATGTACTAAAAGTTGTTTTCCAAAAAGGAACTGAAAATTCAGTGTATAGATTCAGAATTAGACCTGGACAAGAAAGCCAACTTCCTTTTTGTAAATAACTATATTTAAAAATAATAAAACTATATGAAGAATTAACATAATCACCAAGCATTCATAACCAAAGTTATTGAAAAAGCTAATTCTTTAAGAAGGTTTTTTTTTTTTTCTTTTCTGAGGAAAAAGAAAGGCTACTGTAGCTCTAATCAAATTCCAGAGGAAATCTTCAAAATTGCTGATGTGTGAATTATGAATGCATCTGTAAAGTCAACAGAATCACAGACATCTAAGGACAGCCCCAGGAGGAGGGCAGAATTCACTGAAGAGGGGCTCATCCCTGAGCAGGAGAGCAGCTACCTCACTGCCTGAATCAAAGGACAAAAGAGCAGATGACCACCTCCCAGCAGGATGCTGGGCAATGATGCCACCTCACCTCCATGAGCTTTTGCGACCTTTTTTCTACCTACACTTCACAATCACAACAAGTATGATTGGCTTGGGGTTGGCCAAGAGTTGACCTCTCTGGAAAATGAGTAAACCCATGCAGGCCATGTGCCTAGGAAAGGCTTTGGCTAGCCCTAGAGTGTACTCCACCCCACAGGAATGGGGCCTCAGCCTATAAAGCAAGGCTTATTTCTCAAGGAGCTGCTCAGTCAACATTTACTGAGAGCCCATGAACTTCCAACCCCCATATCCTGGTTTTAAAGGGTTCCCAAATCCAAGTCCATCTTAGTGTTCTACTGTTGGCTGAGTCTGTCCACTGACCCAGGCCAGCCACGCCTGCCCATGCATTTGTGGGGCAGTCAGGTGGGACCCAGAGGCCTTGGCTGGCAGGGAGGAGAGAGGGCGAAACTGAGACTCTGGCCATGAAGAAGCTGCACTACAAGCCCACCCACCCTATCTATATTCAATCCCGGACAGCCCCTCTTGAGTCCACTGTAGTGTGTGGTTATGAGCATTTGTCTCAATGACATGTTGAAAAGAGAAGCAAGTCCCCAAATCCCAATATTAAAAGTTCTGCTTTTTTGTAGCATAAACTCTCTTGTTGTTGTTATTATGTACCGTGGAGTCGGACCCGACTCATAGTGACCCCTCTCTGGGTTTCCGAGGCAGTATCACTACGGAAGTAGATTGCCCCATGTGCCTTCCGAGGAGTGGCTGGTGGTTTGAACTGCCAGCCTTCTGGTTAGCAGTCAAGTGCTTTAGGTACTACGCTACCAGAGCTCCCATAAACACTCTTAGTTGAGTATAAACCTCTCTTTGTTTTAATGCTAGGAAAACTTATGCTAATTTTGAGGATTTAGCTGAAAAAATGGTGTTCCAAAGGAGGGCTTCTTTTGGAAAACACAGAGGACCCAGCCCTATTTAAACACAATAACACAAGAAGTACAATTAAGGGCTTTCTAAGGATTATCACTTAAATTGATTCACAAAGTTTAAACCTCAGTCCCAAGCCTTTTATGCTGGGTCTATGGCATTAGTTAGTTCAGAGGGCCTATAGAACTACATTTTCACATTAATAGTTAAAGGAAGAGAAAGAACAATTACTAGAATATCGAGATTAAAAGTGCTGTATAAAACTAGAACTTCTTTTTTTTTTTTTGTGAATAGACTGCACCCTATAGGGTCAGATGGAGAGCTCATACCAGTACCATATGCTCAGGACTCCTCTAGGCACCTTTATTGCAGCAGCAAAACCAGGCAGGCCACAGGGCCACACCCATACCCACACCCAAACTGGTTGGGGTTTGCTTACTTTTCTGAGCTTATCTTTCCAGATTGAAAAACACATACTTGGATTTAATAGTCATGACTAAAGGCTCACAGTGAGGAGAGAAAAACAGGAGCCCAAAGTGGGAAGCAAAAAAGAAAGGATATGAATAGCACATGATCATAGGGCCCTCAGGGATATAGGGAAGGAAGGGTGGATACCAGGTACCTCTCGGTTCACAGCAAACCCGATGCTGACAGCCACAGTTGGAAATCTGCAAGGGAAACAGGGTGGTTGGCACTTGAAAAACAAAAACGATCTTGACTAACACATGCCTCAGGAGCCCCTGTGTGGCAATGTCCCTGGAGGACAGAAGGTCCTTTCTACAGGTAGGTTTTTTTTTTTTAAAAAAAAAAAAACAAAACAAAAAACTACTTCCCATAATTTCACAAACTGTATCCAAAACAAACAAGCTTAACTTCAAAGAAAACATATTCTCAAAGTCACATAAAATTGATATAATTCCAATTGCAAATGGTTCTCAGAGATCTAGAGGATCAGCAGAAAGATCATGTCCCAGGAGTGAAGATGGGTAGGAGGCAGCACTACAGGCCCGTCCATGGGTTGCCTTCCAGTAACAATAACATCCCCTCTTATCCCTGTTTCCCACTTGAGCTCCATGCAGCCAACTGCAGGGGCAAGCCATGGAGGTGGTAGGGTGGTTGCATGTTGTAATTTGCCTACAGCTTTTATTTTGTGACTTTTTGCTGCTGTTCAAAGTCTTCAAAATGATCTCTCAGAGTTCAAAAACAGGTAGGACAAGAAGTTGGACACCGCTGCCTTGCAGGAAAAATAAGAGCTAAATTATACAAAAATCAGAATGATGACTGTGATATGTTGTATTAGAGCTTGGTTTGTGGAAGCCTGCAGTCTACAGTGGAGCCCTATTTCGAGTCTTGACATAAGTTCAGATGCCATTTGAGTTATTTCTGATCATTAAACTAGCGGTGTGGCTATGTATAGACAAGTCCAGGGCAAACCTAGGGAGGGGCAATTTGCCCGCAGGAAGACTGTGGTTGAAAGCAGATTATGCTCACATAAAGAACTAGGGAACTTGCCTGCATGCACACTTAATGCTTGAGTCAGACTCTTAGCAACCCCTCCTTGGGTTTCCGAGGCAGTATCACTATGGATGTAGATTGCCCAACCTTCCTTCTGAGGGGTGGCTGGTGGGTTTGAGCCACCAGCTTCTGGTTAGCAGTCAAGTGCCTCAGGCACTATGCTACCAGCATTCCTTTACTAAAAATAGCCATAACTTAACTAATTTAAGTTAAAGGCTGGGGCCCTGGTATTGTCTTACCACTTTGTGGCTATGACTCAGGACAATATGGTCAAAAGTCATATCCTGACTACAATGTAGTCACATGTTCAAGCCACAGAAGCAACACAGTAACCCTTTAAAATCTGCAATTGTGCATGTATCCCAATCACAGTCCTTTACCCACTTCTATAGTCCCACCTGCAACAGTGATAAACTGATCTGCCATAAATCATGATCTGGTGATGATTTCGTTTGTTCTGTATCATACAAAATGAACAGCATGAGTCCATTCAGCCTTTACACTGTGTTCATGCTGATGGTTTCCCTCATCCTTAATGACTGTTTTGTTTTTGTCCTGTTTAAGGCTTAATAAAAGGGTCTGTAAAGAAAGTATTTGAATCTGGGGTCTTTTTCCTCTAGCACAATGTGCAGAAGCATGGAGCGTCAGGTTGTTAATCTGCTAGCTCACTGACAAGAGTATGCCATGAACCAGCCTCACTCTAACTCTCACTCTCAGAAGAGCATTTCCCTCCTCCTTTAGTCCCAACACTGTTGGACACAAAATGAACAGCTCACATCTGACCTGCAGTGACCAAGGGCTTTCAGATGGCTTTAAACTGCAATCATTTCTGTGGCCATAACCCTCAGTGTGTCCTGGAAATATAAAGGTCAATAATTCAGATTATTTTTCAAGTTATGCTGTCCTCCTAAGTTGTTTATCTGGTGCCACATTTCCCTGCTGCACTGCAAAGAACAAAATCCTTGGGAACTTTGGCTCTGGGGCCATGAAAGACAGATGTATCCCCATCACAAGTACACTAGAAAGGTGAGTCAAACAGAAAAGGAAAAAAAAAAAAAAAAAGGTTCTCCCTTCAGTGAAACATACCTAAAAAAAAAACAATGGTTCTGCATGAATGATCCAAGGAGAGTCATTCTTTAGTTAAAATTATAGTTCTAGTGATACAGTTGCTGTCACCAGATGGCACTATTCCATTGACTCAAAAGAGTCACCTTCCGTAGGCATGATTGAAATCTCAAGATAAGCCACATTCAGAAACATCTTATTGTTAATATGATACACTGTAATTACTTTACATATAAACATAACACTTGTGGGAAACATAAAGGATTATACCAAGGGTGAGGAGCCCCATGATCTGGCTCACTTCCACCTTCCTCCTGAAAATTGTGGATTTCCACATTTCCTGGTCTTCAATGGATTGGCTCTCAGTGTGACCCAGCAGAATTGCCTCATTGTGAGTTGGTGAGAAATGCAAATCAGTGGCCCACCCTGATCTGTTAAGTCAGAATCTGTCCTAACCAGCTGTTCAGTGGATTCTTTGTTGTTAGATGCCCTCTAATAGGTTCTGACTCACACTGATCCATGTATAATAGAATGAAACATTGCCCAGTCCTATGCCATCCACACAGTCAGCCATTGCTATGTTTGAGCCCACTGCTGCAGTCATTGTGTCAAGCCACTTCATTGAGGGTCTTAGTCTTTTTCTCTGACCCTCTATTTTACCAGCATGATTTCCTTCTCCAGGGATTGGTCCCCCCTGGTAATATGTCCAAAGTAAGCAAGATGAAGTCTCACCATTCTCACTTCTAAGAATTGTGGCTGTACTTCCCCCAAGACAGATTTGTTCATTCTTCTAGCAGTCCATGATATATTCAGTGTTCTTTGCCAACACCCTAATTCAAATGTGTAAATTCTCCTTCAGTCTTTAAACATGAGATGACTGAAAATACATGGCTTGGGTCAGGTGCACCTTAATCCTCAAACTGACATCTTTGCTTTTTAACACTTTAAAAGTCTTTTGAGCAGACTTTCCTAATGTAATATGTTGTTTGATTTGTGTCTGGTGCTTTCAGGGGCACTGATTGTGGATCTAAAAATAACTAAATCCTTCATAATTTCAATTTCTTTCTTATTTATTGTGATGTTCATTGGTCCAGCTGTAAGGATTTTCATTTTCTTTGTTCAGATATAAGCCACACTGAAGACTGTAGTCTTTGTTCTTCATCAGTGAGTACTTCAAGTCATCTTCACTTTCAGCAAACAGATTGTGTCATCTGCATATCACAGGTTGTTAATGAGTCTTCCTCCAATCCTGATGCCACATTCTTCTTCATACAGTCTAGCTTCTCAGATTACTCACTCAGCATACAGATTGAGTAAATATGGTGAAAGGATCAAATCCTGCTGCACACTTTTTCTGATTTTAAACCATGCAGTATCTCCATGTTCTGTTCAAATGACTGCCTCTTGGTCTGTGTACAGGTTTTGCATGAGCACAATTAAGTATTCTGAAATATCCATTCTTCATAATCTTATCTATAATTTGCTATGATCCACACATTGAATGTCACTGTGTAGTCAATAAAACAGATAAACATTTTTATGATATTCTCTCCTTTCAGCCAACATCCATTTAACATCAGCACTGATAACTGTCATTTCATGTCCTCTTCTAACTATGGCTTGAATTTCTGGCGTTTCTTTTTCAATATATGGCAGCAGCTATTTTTTAAATTACTTTCAGCAGAATTTTGCTTGTATGTGATACTAATGATGTTGTTTGATGATTTCTACATTCTACTGGGGATTCTTACCCATTTTAAAGTCTTAGAATCACGTCTGTGGAAACCATTAATGGCAATGACCTTGGGGCCTTGGCCATCTGTAGCATGGACACTCACTTATACATTCAGCTTTACACTTTAAAGTCTGACACTCCTCCTCCTGCCATGGAGAGCTTCCTGTAGACACACCTTGCCTTGTCCTCACAGATAGTGAAGATCCCCTAGGCCCTCATCTCCTTTCCCCAAGAACACTGCAGCCCCACATACTCTCTGGCACTATTCTGCCCAATCAGACAAGGCCCAGTCAGGCCCAGCCAGATCCACGCCGGATTCTCATCCCATCTCAGTTTCCTCTTGTCTCCCAAAGTGTTCCTCAATCTGTTGTCCCTGGACCCCTGGGGTACCTTCTCAGAGGTTTCATTTTCTAATCCTATGTGTTTCTTCAGGGGGATTTCTTAAAAGAGTCTTTCTTAAACTCTACCCAACATTTTAAACATATACAAGATTTTAAAACAAGTGGAGATTTTTTTTTTTCTTTTACATAGTCTGAGTCCCTCAGAAATGGAAAACTTTTTTGTTATCTTTTTAGTGAGACTATAAACTTCCTATTGGTTTGCTTGTATGTTGTTGTTATTGTTGTGTGTCATTGAGTTGATTCCAACTCAAAGAAACTCCTTAGAACACAGGAAAACTGCTTCATCATTACAGGAGCAGATCACCAGGTCATTTCTCCTGTGGAGCCATTAGTGCTTTTGAACTGCCAACTTTTTGGTTAGCAGCCCAGTGCTTAACCATTGTGCCAGAGCTCCTTTTTGCATATATATTTCTACCTAAAAAATGTTGCTTTTAGACAGTGAATACTTATAGAAAAGGACATTTGAAACACTGACAAGGAGACTATGCACTCTATGCTCACCTGTGCACAAAGTTGCAGGTCCCATCAATAGGGTCAATGATCCAGGTGGGGCTGGTGGTGAGCACACATTTTGCACCAGAAGCAGCAGACTCTTCCGCAATGAACCTGTGGTGGATGGATGGAGCCTCAGACTTGTAAGGAATCAGCTAATATCAAGAAAACGCCTCAATAACTCAAAGCAAACTGTTTCAAATTATTTCAAGTCCCTTTTTTTAAAAAAGAAAATAAACTAAAGCAATTTCTTTATGGTTTTTCCAGATCAAATGGAGGCATCTACTTTTGATCTGTTAATCTGCTAGTCATCAGGATTTATAAAGCACAGTAACACCTCTGTGTGCATGTGCAAGTTTAGAAAAACCAAAAAAAAAAAAAAAAAACTCCCTGCCATCAAGTTGATTTTGACTCATAATGACCCCTTTGGGTTTCCGAGGTAGTAAATCTTTACAGAAGTAGATTGCCCAGTCTTCCTTCCACAGAGTGGCTGGTGGGTTTGAACCACCAGCCTTCTGGTTAGCAGTTAAATGCCCTAGGCACTATGCCACGAGAGCTCCTTAAGTTTAGAAAAGCATCACGGAAATCTGAATAGGCCAGGCAGAGAACAAAAAAATTGAAAATGTTGGGAAATAGAGCTTACAAAGTAGAGCCATAACCTGTTTTAAACAGTCTTGAGGAGGCTACAGAATAGAGAACAGTGAAACCACAAAGACTCTGATGGACAGACCCTGATTACCACCAGTTACTTCTAAAATGCTAAGGACCATCCAGAACTAACAAGTCCTGAATCTGCCTCCCAGCTCTGTGGCTTGCTGAACCACAGACACAGGTGTGTGTGCACTTGCCCCTCCACGGGTACTGAGATAGTGTAGCATCTACTACTTTCATTCTGTTCCCTTAGACCCCTCCAGAGTCCCTGTCTGCCCTTCTCTATATCAACAGTGCATTCTGATCTCAGCTGCACTTCAGGCTTAAGTAATGGGAACCCCAAAAGGTGAGAAAGCAGGAAGAGAGTGAAGTTAATAATTTATTTCCTGGCTCCCTTTTTGAAATGTCCCCTACTCCTCCCAAGTGAGCTTCCTCTAACACTTCTTCCTTCCAGTTCTATCCCCACCCCTCAAACCCAAGATCATTGATGGCTCTGGTCTGCCCCATCGGGTTTTGCACTATCTGCAGGTTTTGCACTATCTGCAAAGGTCCCATATGCCCGGGTCCTCCTTCACAATGAGTCTCTCTGTAAATAAACCCTATTTATCCTCACTATAGTGTGCTGCTATTTCCTGCTAGGAATCTACAACAGACAACATGTTACAATGAACCTGCACAAAAGAGAACCTGATTGCCTCTACTTGTGTCCAACTCATCAACAGCTCAGGCCCAAATAGCAGTATCTTTTGTTCTTCCCTTTGGTTCTCCTTCCTTCTCCAGTCAACAGCAAGGGTCACCAGAGTGCTGTAATGTCCAATAAGTTAGCAGCTAGCCACATGTGGCTGTTTACATTTAAATTAATTAAAATTAGGGCACTCAGCTGGTATGGTATCTAAGACATCTTTGATGTGAGTGGCTACCACAGTGAAGGAGGTATAGAATATTTCTGTCATCACAGAACATGGTACCAGGCATTGCTCTTCTAGTCTATAACTACGTAAAGTCACAGGTAAGGGTCTTTTGTAACACATCTTGACCCACCAACAACATTTCCATTTCATGGACAATGGGATACATGCTCTCAATGCACCACAGTGTGCCTGGTCCTCCACTTCATGGATGAGCTGTCAGAAGCCCATCAATGTGTTCACTGAGGTTCATATGTTACTTTCAGGTGTTGTCTCCACCTCTTCTTCCAGCTTCCTGGAGTTGCTGCACTGGCTCTCCCTGGATGAGAAGTGATAACCAGATGCAGGATGGCAGGCAGCACTGAACAAGCAACTGAGAAATCGACACCCCTGGAAAACAGCACTTTGCCTGTGAGGCTCTGTAGGTATAACCTGCCCCCAGGAAGTGCACAGCCTAGTGGATGGGATGTGGTGGACTCAGTTCTCTTTTTTGTCTGTACCCCACTCCCTCCCTCTGGAAACAGTCTGTCATCACTCCCCTCCATGTACTTTTGCTATGGAGTTAGTCAAGGGTTCCCAAAACTATTACCATGGGCTGGCCACACAGCCCAGCAGCCAGAGTCCTGTTCCAGGGGCTGATATTCCCCAAACAAGTCCTGGATGGAAATTATGCTGGATTAAGGGCCTGATGAGGAGCTCTGGTAGCTTAGTGCCTGAGACACTTGACTACTAACCAGAAGGCTGGTGGTTCAAACCCACCAGCCACTCCTCGGAAGGAAGATGGGGCCATCTACTTCCATAGTGATACTGCCTTGGAATCCCAAGGAGGGGTCACTATGAGTTATGTCCAACTCGACGGCACATAACAACAACAACAACAAAGGGTCTGATGAATGGTGAGCCATGCCGGGCAGGGTGAGGCCAGGCGCTGAAACTGACCATGCAGGTAATACTGTGTACAAATTACTAATCCACTAAATAACTATTTAAGTAAGTGGCACTAGATCTGCCACTTTTCTTCATTAAAGACTTAAGAAATTAAATCTGTTTTCAATGTTTTCTTCTGTAGCTACATGATTATATTCCCCTGAAATGGCTTGCAATTTTGTTTTTAAAGAAAAAGGATCTACACCCCAAACACAAACACTTATAAGCAGCAAGTGCCAAAGTCTGAATTGGACACAAGATTGATAGAGCAGTGAAAAGATATTGCTCAAGTCTTGAAAGGAATATAAATGACTCACATACAAACGTAAGTTCCTAAGAAAGTGAGGAGGGCAGTACAACTCTCCCTTTTTAGACCTGAATTTAAGCAGGAAGTTGGTTCCTACTGGAATTGGAGAGAAATAGCTAGGTCTCCTGGCAGGAAAGGAGGGAGAGCTTCTCTGCAGCATCACCTCCTAACAGCCCTGGAGCAGCAATAGGCCACTCACCGCTCACTGAGGTGGGCTCAGATGACACGTAGGCCGACAAGGGCTGTTTGTCATGAGAAAACTGCATGTAACACTGTCCACAGAGTTCACCAAGCATCTAATCTTTAAAGCAACAATCATGACACTTCTCGTTAACAAAGCTTTTGCTTTGCATGACATTTCTATAGAAATAACTCCAATTACCCACATTAAGTCCTGGATTTTTATAGTTAATTATTCATGCCCTGGAGTTTTCCTCCTCTCTACATCTTTTGTACTTTCTTCTCATTAGTCCAACTGCCCATGTGAAAGGAGATGGAATGGACATTGGTCATTTTTTCCTATTACTTCCTTTTGAGGACAGCAGTTTGCAGCAGGGCCTGCTAGAGGCTGACAGAGGCATGGATCACAGCCAGTTTGGGGAGGCACTTTGTTGGTATGTGGGAAGGAATGTTGTTGTGCTGTTAACTGCCATCAAGTAGACTCCGACTCATAGTGACCCTATGTACAACATAACAAAACACTGCCCGGTCCTGTGCCAGCCTCACAACCCCTACTATACCTGAACCCATTTGTGGTAGTTAAAGTTGTATGCCAACTTGGTTTGGCCTGGTTGAGTGGCTGGGCAGGTGAATGTAGTTATTCCCCATGATGAGACTGGCAATCAGCTCCATATTGGGATCTACCACAAGCAGCTGAGTAGGTGCTTTAAGGATGTGGTCTGCTTCTCATAAATAAGCAGCAGCTTTGGGAATGGTCTCTAGCTTATGGCACACTTGCACCCTGTGTGTAGCTGTGTCGTTGTTCAGCAGCCTGCCATGCTCTACCAACCTTGGGACTTTCAATGGACTTGAATGAATGGCCTGCTGTGTGGTTTGGTAACATCGAGACTGTGCCTTTTCACTTGTCAACATTGGGCTTGTCAGTCTCAGCAGCCAGCAGCTGTCCGAATGAAGAAAAGCCTCTAGCTTCAGTGGGCCGGGAGCAGAAGGCAGAGCTGAAGCCCAAGGTTAAGGGGCTTTTACCCAGCCCTTAGAGCTGGCACTCTGAACTCGGACCTACAGCCTCCAAACTGTTACAGAATAAACTCTTGTTTGTTCAAGCCACCCCATTTGTGGGCACTAGGCAACCAGAACACCATTGTTGCAGCCACTGTGTCAATCCATCTCATTTAGGGTCTTCCGCCTTTACACTGACCCTCCACTTTACCAAGCATGATATCCTTCTCCAGGTAATGGGTCCTTCTGACAATATGACCAAAGTAGGTGAAATGAAGTCTGGCCATTCTCGAATCCAAGCAGCATTCTGGCTGTACTTCTTCCAGGACAGATCTATTGGTTCTTCTGGCTCATCTGTTAGTTTGTCATACTGTGGTGGCTTGTGTATTGTTGTGAAGCTGCAGGCCATGCAGCCAATATTTCAAATACCAACATAGTCACCTGGGGTGAACAGGATTCAGCTGAACTTCCAGACTAAGACAGACTCAGAAGAAGGAAGAGGCCATCCATTTCTCAAAGAATTGACCAGTGAAAACTGGAAAACTATGCATAGTCCTGAAATATTGTCTGATATACCGCCAGAAGATGAGTCCCTCAGGCTGGGAGGCACTCAAAATATGACTGGGGAAGAGCTGCTTCCTTAAAGTAGAGTTGACCTTAATGACCTGGATGGAGTAAAGATTTAGGGACCTCCATTTGCTGATGTGGCATGACTCAAAATGAGAAGAAACAGCTGCAAACATCCATTAATAACTGGAACATGGAATGTACAAAGTAGGAATCTAGGAAAATTGGAAGTTGTTAACAATGAAATGGAACGCATAAAGATCGATACCCTAGGCATTAGTGAGCTGAAATGGACTGGTTTTGGCCATTCTGAATCAGATGATCATATGACCTACTATGCTGGGAATGACAAATTGAAAAGGAATGGTGTGGCATTTATCGTCAAAAAGAATGTTCCAAGATCTATCCTGAAGTACAATGCTGTCAGTGATAGGATAATATCCACATGCCACCAAGGAAGACCAGTTAATACTACTATTATCCAAATTTACACACAACCCACCAAAATCAAATGTGAGGAAATTAAAGATTTTTACCATCTTCTGCAGTCTGAAATTGACCAAACATGCAATCAAGAT